TAATTTGACTTTTATTGCTTGCGTTTCGGAGTAGTCGAATTTATATGGTTCAGAGGATTCCGATGAAGGAATCTCTTCAGAGGTTTCGCTCTTATTATCCAAAAAGTAATGCCAAAGATTCTGTAACCAGTGCTCCACTCATTCACAATCTTCACTGGAAGATTCTGTTTGATTCACACGGGATTGCCTGCTGCTCTGGAAATGTAAGAGGCCTCGTAGATTCAGTTCATCATGTAACACGGTCTCAACAGAGATAGCGCTTGGCTGATTAATTTGAGAAGGACGCACTTTTGTCCACTCATTTGTGCAATGGTAGTAGTGTTGACATACACAAACTTTGTTTGCTCTGAGGGTTCTTAAACCGATGTACACATTCTGTAGTGTGCCTAAACTAAACGCATAGTGAAGCAATATTTTTTAATCGACACATTTGTAAGCTTCATTGTCGTCATCATCATCATAGACAGCAACAACAGTGTTGACACTGATGCTTCACTGCCGTAAATCCATAAGTTATCTGTAAATGTCGTGGTTGTGCGAAGGCTGGGATACTGCTAGGGCGCTCACACATAGACAGGTAAGCGACACCATAATAACGGCACTAGTATTAATGGCTTTCTACCTCTTAGTTCTTCCTGAAAAATAGGAAAAACACCTATGCCTCTTTGTAAATGGTCAAACGTTTGTAGATATTAAAAAATAACCGCTCATTTTTCCGGGTAACTGTTAACAACCAGGATGAGAGTGTAGTAGGGCAGTAGTGTATTCTTTACCTACTTGCGTGTTGAACATTTGACGACGCGTTTTATTCAGTCACTCGAGAAAGGCCCATGGAAATCAGTGTTTACATTGATCTTACTGAAATGTGCACTGGCATGCGGCCATTAAGGATTATTCCTCCTCCCTTTGGACTGGAAGTACGTGCGTACAACCGTCTTCATTAAGTCGTTCAGTATTCCCATAAACTTCACTGGGTAACTGTGAGGTAAATCTCTGCAACGCATCCAAAGAATTCGAAAAACTCAGCGCTTGTAGGAACAGTTTATTGGGTGCATTAAGTGTTAGTCATCAAACAGCAAGCTCAATGTACCACTCGTTTGACTGGTAACCTAGCCAATAGTGGAAAGCCAGGTCATCTTATCGACATGATGAGAATACTTGCAGAAATAGGTGCTTTATTTGTTGACGCAACTCTCGAAACTGATTGTGGAGTCGCATATTACAGGCTTACTCTATTCATCAGACAATGATATTGTTATACCTTTTCAGGGGACATACTCATTTTTTTGCCATCCTATGAAGAAATAATCACCCTACGGGACCAACTTCTTGACATGGAGAATTTAGTTTGGGAGAAAAGCAAGTGGGTCTTCAAAATTCTGTCCTTTTTCTTTTAGTTTCTTTTGCGAAATTTGCTCCAAAGTGTTGAGTTACACATCTGCTGCCACGTTAACTAAAGCTTCTCATAAAAGCAGGTTGTCCTGGAATTTTGCCGCATCTGCTTCTGGAATAACATTGTAGGCCTGTCAACGGTTACCGATGTTGGTTTATCTAGTCGCATTAGATAGAATCACGCTTATTTCCAGAACTAAGCTAATTTTACTTAATATGTTTCGAAGGTGAACTTTTAATGCAGATTCACCGATTCATTGTTTGCTCACAAGTTGGTTAATTCTTTTAATCGGTCTAGCTGAAGCGGTGGTGTTGCCTAGTCGGTTGATCCTCATCGACTGAGGAAAAAGGCAAGCCAATTATTTTGTTTAACCCATCCATCGTTATATCTGTCGGCCACAGTTGAACGTCGACTAAGCCACTCATACGATGAACGCGTGCAATTAGCCTACCTGAACGCATGTTACATGCTCTGACATGCATGAACAGACGAATAAGCGCACCTGGGTTGGTTCGGTTTTGATAAATTGGCCGGACTGACTGGCCGGTAGGATAAAAAACTCTGTTAGGGAATCACCTCCACTCGTCCCAGTTCACTTTCCATCCCGTTAATTTTCCACTAGTGGAACTAGTCGTTGTTATTGGTTCTGTTTCGCCTGAAAGCAAAAGAAGTGATGAGTTCCATCTCACTCACCTGGGAGACTTCAGTTTGAGCGGCAACGACCTTTGTCATATTGAATCTTGCACTTTCAGCGTCGCACTCGGTTATCCAGACACAGCCCATGGTCAGCGTTATCCTACGATGTAGCTAATGGTTTGGCTTGCGTGACAATCTGAGGGAAGATCGCTGTTAACTGTTTTCATAATTCGAATGACCACATCATGGTCAGTGGTACGACTAGTAATTTTGCCAAGCGCTAAAAGCCGTTTTTCACCAAAATGATAAAAGCAACATTTTCCGGAATGGACTGTGATTCGAGCATTCAGATACCATCTTCGCCGACAGAATTTGAATTATCAAGTTTGCACACCTGGGAATTTTTCGAGTTTATCTTGTAAGATCATCTAAATCCATAGCACAAGATGTCGTAGATAACTCCATCGTGCTCTTCACTCATATTACCCTCAGTAGGGTCTGCCACTGTAGATTGTTTCAACAATAGTACATTTCCAGCCAAGTCAACCCAGGACCAGTTTAGTCGCATTCACTGACGCGATCGTTTGGTGTCTTTGTGTTGGTAATGATATCAAAGTACGATATCAAATTTCCAACTAGATGATAAGCGCGGGTGTGTAATATGGAGTAGTTCCATCTGGATGCTTTCTTTTTAAGGGCAGATAGGCTCAGAAGCTCGCAGTCCATCAGATTAAAGTGAACAAAATCTAACCATTCTGGCTCTGAGTGCTTCAAAGGTGTTCTCATTATAGCACGTTTCTAGCTGATTAGTCATTAAATTCAGCAGTGGCGTTCTTTTCACTGCGCATGGTTCACTTATTTGACAACCATGATACCACTGATGACATTTATCCTGCAGCATCCTGAGCTAGCACTGGAAAGCCATCTCTTTAGTTAGCGCTACACGAACGGCACTTCAGAATGATCGGTAGACTACGTGCTCACATTACTCTCGTTTGAACAATCATCCTCCTGTCCTGGTGCAATTTCTGGTGAGTCCATACCAAAGGGAGGAAGCACTGGACGCGAGTTTCGCTCGTATTAGGGTTCATTGGAGGTACATATCCAATGGCCGTGCCGGGGTTTGAGCTCCGCAAATTTGACATTCTAGGTGAGGGTGTTACCATCACTACACCAGCGCACCCCGGGCTCATTCGAATTTCCACATCTAGACAGGTGAACATGTTCGCGTTTAAGTGATGTGAGCTGAACGCCCGACAGCCCACATGTCCAGTGTGCGGTGTTCAAACCCCGTGCCGAATTCTATCTAGGTGCAAATTGACCACCCTGCTGACCAGAATGATACACTGTTCCGCTATTAACTAGGTTTTCGATTATACAATTCGCTCCAAAAACTGCTGAGGTACTTGGTTCTGATCATCAAAGTTGATGGTGCCACTCTACAGTGCTCTTCGATTTTCCACAATAAATGAACTTACCTAAACCATAAAATATCTACTGAATCATGGACCATGCTGATTCCCAGTAGATGTTCATTTGGAGCATCTGGTGCTTACCTTAATGGGGTACTCTAATTTGAAAATGACTGTCAACGAACTCGTCAATACGTTGTGAATTCTGGTGCAGTTCGCAAGGTGTATGACTATATACACATGAACTGATCTCCATCTTACAACCTGCTTTTACCGTAATGCAGTCGTATGCTGTTTGAATCACAGCCAGTGAATACCCTTTTTGTCACAAAGAGTAGTGCAGCCTGTAGATCACAAGGCCGCATCGTTGGCATACGAATTCGAGATCTGTAACCAAAAGCCTTTGTAACTCATTTCATGTTCCTTTGTTTTCAGTCTGAATACCAACGTTTGAAACATCCATTAAACAAAATACGCACCATCTGCGCTCCGTTTTTCGCTAGTGACCGCCGGCAATTGCCGACCATGCTTTTCGCGTCCATCTCAGTGCATAGTGGCTGACCAGCCCACTCATTTTACTTGTTCTGTTTGGTATGATGACGGTCATACTCGAGTAACAGTTGCAAAATCATGCGACAAGTATCAGTTAACCTGAAATTTATGAATGGGGTCATTCATTAATCTAATTTATCCTGGAAAATTCGTGCTTTCTTTCCTGTGTATGTTTATGCAGTGCATCCACCAGGTTGCTGCTCGAATTTCAAAATGCTGTGCACGTTACTGAGCGCACATGTATGTTCACATCCCTTAGGGCACCTTAATTCCAGGCAGAGAGAGCATAAAACTGTTGTCGGTACGCTTTTCAGATTGCTCCGGATTTAACTAATCCGCAGGCGGCTTATTATGGCCCAAAGTGACAAATTTATGAGGCTACCCGAAAATGACTTCGGTTTTAGTATCGGTTGATTATGTTTATTATTGGTTCGGTCATGATTTTCAGGTCAGTTTTCTGGAGATGCTCACCCTTGGATTATGTGGGTTCTGCAGTCATCTGTCATAAAGCTCCCAGAACTGGTACATGCCCTTAATGTCCCAGATAGATGCTTACCGTATGTTCTTGTCCTTGTAACAGACGATATCTGGTATTAATTCTGCACTCCCGAATGCTTGTGGCTGACCTGGCCAACCTGTTCTTACCAACCCCCCCTGGAAGCCGAAAAGTGGTGAGTGCGTTTGCTTATGTTTACTTACGTATGCATGGTCCAAAAAATAGGGACCGTTTGTTATGTCCTTTGATTTGATTTTTGGTGTTAACTGGATAAGTATGAATCGTAGAGTTATCTCTATTAGGACAGCCAATTTGAAGCGGAGGCTTCCGAAGTCATTACGCAGATGTTTCATCCTTGCTAACAATAACTAACATTGAGTTCGCACATAGCTCTAGGGAGATCCGAACCTTCTATTTTCAATTAAATTTTTCGATTAAATTAAATTAAATTTTGAGCCACTTCCACCAAGCCCGGATATACAATCAGCCTTTGGCAGAGAAGTTAGTCGTAATCCTGTGGGTTACCCATTTCAGTATATCCATAGGAAGTCGTGAGGTGCTTGCTGCTTTTAACGATTGTGTAACAGATGTTGGCCTACACATCTACGACCACCCAGCCTATAGGTGTCAGACTTACTGCGAGTTTTTACTACGTTGTGGATTTTTTCGTACTGACGACTCTCATGATAGAAGTTGAGTTCAAAATAATTTTCTTCTACAGATCCTATCCACAAGCATTGCGGAGTTCTCCATGAGTTTTGCGCGGGTTGCTTTCGTTATCGATTGCGGACTGGAGTGTGCAGTAAGCCGGAGTTATTTATAACAAGTATTTATCAACCAGTCATTGTGCCACTACCTTGCTTTGTAATCACACTTAAGATGGCCGGTAAAAAGGTCAAAAGAAACAATAAGAATGTTGAATGTATTTTCTTTTTTTCGCTCACGGTACTTCTGTTTACTGAAATCTTTAAGAATGATGGCAAACTAAGCCCTGTTTTTAGTTTATCAATGAGCTGGTAAACATTCGTAAAAAATCTGCTTGTGAGTTGTAAAACTCCAACTGGTAAAACTATGCTTTGCGATAATGTGGATGTATCTGACTGTACCCCCCTCCCAGGTTTACACTGCATAAGTGCCATCGAGAATAACAGATTAAGTGTGAGAACTAGTGAGATACACCCCAAGCAACTTACCCTTATTCTACTCAAGGCCAGAAAGATGTTTCCCTAATGACGGATGCATTTTTGCGGAGGGATCGGTTCATTGAGTAATCCTGAAAAAAAATATTCAACCATTGATAAACTACTGGTAGTTGATCAGATGGCTGTTTATCTGTCCGCCGAGCTCAAAAGTTAGCTTGCAAGCACTTCATCACCACCTGCTTGGACACTACCAGTGCGCGATGAGTACCCCAAACCGGTGGGGTACAATTCTACATTTTATCTATGATCCGAGCTTTGGAGAAACGGGGACCATGTTTTGGCATGAAAGTTCCAACTACAGAAGAATGACTTCACGAACCACTTGGTCGACTGGCTTTCAAAACCATAGGTTAGAGGTGAAGTTCTAAAGATCACGATCACCAACCCCGGGAGGCTGGTGCAACTTCAGTGGAAGGATCCCATACTGCGGAAGATTAAAACCGTCCTGTTGGACGGAAGAGTCATTGGGAACACAGGGGAGATAAACAATGGGAGATATCTCGGGAGTGCTCCATCAAAGATGGTATGATATCTTGGGAGTCAGACGATTTAGACGCCGCAACCTTGTGATACCTCGTGTTGAGGCCTCCGATAAGAAACTTTTAGTCCCGCGTAGATCTGACAATCTTGATCAGAAAAAGGAAGAATTGGGTTCAAATGTTCATGGTTTGGTTTGTTTATATAAAGATAAGCAAAGTCACACAACAAACACCAGTTATCCGCATTCTTGGCGTCAACTAGTGTCCAAGATTCTTTGATAGGCAGAGAGCGGCGTTAAAGTCCACACACTTGACAACGACTAGCGGAATGGTGATTCGGTGTTGTGGGTTGCGGTCGTCCCCTTCGAGGCCCTGCTCGTTATTCCGATCGGCGGTGCGATCCCATTGAAATCACGACAGTACATGTCAAAACAGTCCCAGCAGACAGGGCACGAACGCGTATGGGTAAGTCAGTGACACATACATGCCAGTGTACTGGTGTCGAACAGGGCGGCCTTTGCGGCAAGGTGAATGGAGGGTGCGCAAAACAGGTGGAGATCAGTGAGCACACGGACTGAGTAAGCTCTTGAATGGGGGAATTGTCACGATGTCAGGTCAGATTCAATACCTCGTGACTTGAGGAGAAAGCTGACTGTTGGGTGCCACGAGATGGCACATACAGGGTGCTCCAAAATGTACGAGTTTCCGGCAAAGGACCCACCGACTAGGGATGAGAAGCGATGTTATCGTCTGTCGTGACCTGTAAGTGGTGCCAGCTGTTGAAGGGGGACAAGACAGGAAAATATGGGACCTACCTCGTATCAGAAATATGACAACTGTGGTTGATGTTTTAGGGCCTCTTCTGGTGACAATAAGTGAATATCCGTACTTTGCAATCATGAAAGAACACCATTCGAGTTGGACCAATGCGACGGCCGTTCCAAACGCAACGGGCGACTACGACCAGTTGAGCAGTAATATGCCACATTGTAGCGAGGAAGATGATGGAAAAGAGATTATATTGTTAGAGTGAATAATTAAGGAATTGCTCACAGCTATTCGGCATAAAGCGGCGATAACCTCCCATCCATGGACAAACCACCTAACGGAACGCAATAGAACAAAATATCAAGGGATGACTGGTGGTCAGATGGAGTGATTGGGATATAAACCCACGGGTAGTGATGTTAGCACATCGCGCTTCCATCCGGTTCAGCACAACCAAATCCACATTCCTGTTGATGTACGGTCGGCTCCCACGTCTCCCTGTTAATCGGTAAATCTGTTTGCGGCTGACTGTGCACCTGTGTACGCGAGATCCAGGTAAGCGCAGCATGAAAAAATTGGCAACGGTGCGCAAGAGAACTAAATGGGAGATGGAAGGTACGAATGTCCAATCATCCCAATATGCACGAAGGTCAAGTGGAAAATCACAATCATTGGAGTAGTAAACTGGGGTCGTGAAAGTTAGTCGGTCGCTAACAGGGACCTTTTTTCGTTGTTGACCGTCAGGGGAATGTTTATACGGTTAAAGACAGTTAAGGGCCACGACAGGCAAATTGGAGCCAGAAACAATATCCGTGGGGAAGTGCTTCCACAGCTGATATAAGTGAAGCGGACCGCTCGTGGATGGAGTGAATGTGAAGTTTAGGGTGGGAGGTGTACTACTGACTTGTAACATCTCTTTAAAGTAGTTTGAAGCGCGATCTTCTGTCTACTTGTGGGCTTAAATTGAAATTAGTAAAATGTTTTATTGTGTCTGTCCATTCATTGTAAACATCAAACGACCTCCAGAAAAGCACAGAAGTTTTGGAAGTGCACCGGAATATTTGTAGCTTGGGTGTGTGATCACTCACTAATGAATGAACCACAGCTACAGTGAATTCCCGTTCAAAAGCGTCCTTCTTTTTCATTTATCTGATAAGAGGTACCATGTCTGTCTATCTATTACCCCTTAATTGGTACGGTAGTGTGCGTCCTACAGAAACGACCCAACTGGCCATAAAATTTCGAGTTGATCCAGTGCGGTGCCCGAGTCGGATTTTGTTAGTCTCAAACTGATGCCTGTTGATATTTGTCAATTTTAACACCACAAAAACTAATTAATGCGGATATTGGAATAACACAACTTGTAGGGTTGGCGAAAACTTTTGGGAGGCTCATTAAAATTATAAGTAGTGTCGTGTCAATAAAATACCACGGCATCTTGATTCTAGTTTAAAATGAAGCAGGAGATGGTTTCTGTGCAGCTGAAGCTTACCATAGACAAGGTGTTCATCTAAGGTTCACTTGAATCCCCTATCGCCATATTTGTAACCTTCAGATGAATGTTTATCTGCAAATGGGTTGGGCTGTCCTATTTATTGCACAACAAGTCGTGTGTACTTCTAGGGGTGTTGAGGCGTCCTATTATGGTGTTTACTCATGTGAACCAATGGACTTTTTCTGATAGCCATTCGACAGTATAATGAACCTCCTCCTTTATTTCAGAAAACCCGTGTAGACTGGGGTGGAGCATTATCGTTGCAAAATTACTGGATATCGAGGTCAACCGCCATTCAGAGGCAGACTCGGTAGGACTCCCATTTTATGCATTTCAACGTTCCATATATATCGATTGCATTGGAATAATGCAATTTTTGTCTCTTCGCGGATTAGTCTTCCGCCGCATGGCATCGAAAAAGTTATGTTTTCTCATGCTCGTACAGCGCATTCAAATGATTTGGTGAAGGCTTATTCCGCCTGTTATTCACCCAAGCTTGAGTGTGCAACTGTGTAACCGCCTGATCGAGACCGCGAGAACTAAGTGAATTCAATATATTCTGCTTAGATATTGGGTCCACTTACTTGACTGAAGTAAGATATGTTTCACCTTTAGCGGGCTGATAAATGTCGTGCCAGTTATAAGCATTTTTTTGGTCGAACAGCAAGCCAGATGCTAGGGCCTCACCATGAGCCTGCTGAATTCGTGGAGGAGAATTAGCAAACTCACTGTCGCTTGCATTCACTTTTTATGTTTGTAACCATGCTCTTCAAAAATAAATGATACTAGTAGTAGTAGTAGTAGTAGTAGTATGTGCACAACTCTGCACCGGCTTCTTATAAATGAAAACGTTCTTGCGAGCTAATGTGACGGTTTTTAGTACAGCTATCTCTTATCAGCAGACAGCTACTCGAATCAGACGATTTTCAGTAGTCACGATGGTGCTCATGGTTGAAAACAGTGCCTCACAAGAATGTCTTAAGTACAATATGTCATCATAGATCACCGTGATAGACTTAAGGATGGTCATATCCCGATCTCTGGTTCATTTTGTTCTAACCTTCATTAGGTGATAAAATCAACCAAATGGAAAAGAATTCAAAAACAGAACATGCGAAGCGCGGCGGGTAAGAATAAATGAAGTGTAAGGACTATGAAGCCACCGTGGTTATCACAAGGTTGAGGGGTACTGAGTTATTTGTGTAAACGTTTGTTCTATCTTTAAGTGCATTCATCAGCAGTATGTAACACAATGTTGTGAAAGAGATTAGTACGCGCAGACGTCCCCCAACCGAAGGATTATATCTCCTTATTGCATAATAACGCATACCGTTGCTGGTGTTAGTCAACGACCCAGTATTATTCAGTGACAGGAAACCACGATATCGGTCACTGTGAAGTTTAGACATAACCACACCCTGAGTTCACTCCCCGTATAAACATTAACTTCTCACGAGGACCGTAGTGCAGTTTTCCGGAATTGTTTCCACGGAACTAAATGAGAGTACAGTATGGAGTGAACATCAGAAAGAGAATACATGAGCTACAACGCTCCCCCTTGACCTAAAGCTCTCGTAATGTTGTGTTGGTCTGTCTTCGGTGCCTCAAAGTTTCTCTGAGCTATGCTGGCTGTAACGCACTTCCCGAAAGCTCAACCATTCAAGAAAAGCTGATTGAAAGCATCCTAAGGGAAAACAGCGAGTACACATACTTCTAGGAACCGGATTACTAGGCGATCTGGAAGTAGGGTCGTACTGTCCTCTGCGATAGGGGTGTGCAGGCAGAAAGACATTTCTCAAGCGACCAGCACGTCCATATATGCGGAAACAGCGATGTAACCTTCCGCCGTGAAAAGACGGCCCTAAGAAACTGCATACTCTTATTGCTCAATGGTTGACCGTAACCGCCAAGCATTATTCAATACGGTCGAAATAATTTTAAAACCAAAGTGTCCATCGCTGTTAAAAAAGCACCTGATATGCGAAGCTGCATTAGGATTGAAACAGTAACACCTTTCTCCTTGAATCCTCGAGAATTCCCCCCTGAAGGAAAGTGGGTTAGACTGTTGAGGCATCGATTCCTCGAAGGTAGCCTTAAGAAAGCCCTAACAATCACTGCCTTGAGGTTCAAAGTTTTCAGTCAGAGGCTAGGGACAGGGTCCTTGAACAATGCCCCCACATCCTTCCACTACCTTGTGGGTCACTCTTGAGTCAAAGGCTCCAGTTTGGTACCCCGAAAAACACCCATTGGGCAACAACAGAGCGTTTATTCATACACCGGACCTCCGCCCACTCCTCTACACAGGGAACGATACAGTGCGATCAACCCATCTGCCATCCCCTAGCCACCGTTCCATGTCCAAAATTTCACCCAGAAAAGCGAACTAAAGTACTCGCTTACAAATCTCAGAAGGTCTGGTCCAGGCTTTTAGTCCGCACTGTATGTCAACTTGGACAACAAGCATCCCTTGCTGAAACCTAGCTTTCCATTTTTTCGACCTGTTGTGTGTCCCCGAGACAAGCACACAACAACCTACTTCGGTCGTGCAGCCCAAGCCACTTAGGATGAGCTCAAATATTCCATTTTTCACGCTTCCGGTATCCGGTGATCCTGATGCAAGGACCCTTGATATCCATGGTGTGTGAGGTACACGCATTGGTCTTGGAAAGGAGGAACTTTCCCACGATAGATGAAATCTTCAGACTTCATAAGTTGCCTGGCTAGGATATGTGCTTTGCACGTCAGAAGACCATCTGCCTCGCGGATTTCTTATACCCTCGCCTTGTGCTGAGTGGAATCGCCGGAGAGGTGGAAAGTCTATGACCTGGCAGCAAAGTATGGAAGCAATAAAAAAACAAAGTCGAGTCGGCAACTGTCGCTTCTGTGGATGGTGACCCCGGGACCCAACTCACCAATATATAATGACACTGGCAGACATGGCTCAATAAAAAAAATTAGCATCGAAATTCCCACTTCTCGAATTAACTAATTATGTCATCGTCTTCAATGCCCGGCCGTACTTCCCAACTTCTCCCGCTTTCCAGTGATCGAAACTGTAGCCACTGGTGCCAAGGTTTCTGTGATACATGGCTTATAGCTGGCAACTTGAACTGAACGTTCCCTCAGTGAACAAAATTTCGTAGCTCTAAGACAGCTGGCCGTTCTCGAGGAAGTAGTTGATATTTTCAGTTATATTTCAGTTGTTTATTGTTTACTGTCTTTAGTTATTTAACCCACAAAATATTACCCTATTGGTATTTGGTTGGCAGCCTGCTTCCTGGACTGGTTTCAGGCAGCCTCCAATCACAATGAAAACTCTGTATGACACTCCTGGAAGCGTTTCGTGATTCCGAGGATGGCGCACCTATCCAGTATTAACTAGACGGTCAGCTGTTCTACTGGAAACACTTTATGGTTAAATCAAAGCTGTGTTTCCAGCTTTTGCAAGTGGTTGTGCCTTATTTGTATATTCTGTGGGGAGCTGTAGTGAACAAGCACCGCAATTGCCTCGTTGCCACGTTGTTTTAAACGGAAATGCTTCCAGAGTGCATATATTTGAGCAACCTATCTAAGTTTTACTACATTAGACGCCCTCTATTTAAATTAATAGCCACTGCATGGCAAATTGTGAGGCTCTCTGCTTTGCATCATTCTGTCTGCTAACTTGACAATTGGTACTGAACTACGTGCCCAGGTTATCCCCCCCCCCCCGTCACGCCAGTGTGTCATTCTGAGTGGTCGTACAATTTTGAGTAGAACTGCAGCTAATTGGATATACGCAACTCGCAATAACATTCTTGGACTTGGTCAACGGTGTACTCACAGTAAACCACAAAGCACCAGTGAATTGCCCAGGTGAACTCCCATTTCCAGCTAGCGTTTGCCGTGCTTTCTAATCAACTACCGCTCATCCTTAGTAGCACGGTATTAGTCATGCGACTACTGGTTCACCGCCTGGCTATCCAATCCCACATTATAGACTCGGCAATGTGCACTCCCCGAGAAATTATTATTTTTATTTATTCGTGTGGTCGTCAAGTTAATGACGCGTTATTGCTTTTGATGGCTTTTTCCACTTTTCACTCGCAGTATTGGAGTCACATCATCAGCCATATGCTTTCGGTTATTCAGCCGAATCAGATATCAGTGCCTAGGACGTCACCACTCCATCAGAAAAAGCTATCCACTCGAAGTAAGTACATATGTCTACACTTTTGTGCATTTCGAACCTACCCTATGACCAATAGTTTGGACGATGTTTGGGTGATATATTAAGCAGACGAATTTCGGGACCAGAAGCGCCTCACTCTGTCTCGTGGTTTCTAAGTGACTCTGACCCAATACATTTTGAAATGTTTTCTGGAGCTTCCCAGAATACTCCGCATTAAGTGGTGTACCAATGTCCACACCCCACCTACCTTATAACCTCGTTATGATGAAATCATTGAGATCTGGCAGGTAGTACTCTGTAATTGAAAATTTATACTGGGGTGGAAACTCTCTTAGACCCACATATAACCCTATACTCATAATGTTTCAAAAACTTCATTATTCTTATATCATTTGGAACAATATGCTGATGCGACAATAACTAACGTGGAACTGGCTGGAAGAATTACTAACTTGCCAACGTGAACTGATGGTTACTGACCAGGACACTCGACAAAATATGGGGTAAAATAAAAGATAAAACAAAATAAATACAAAAATACAAAATTAAAATATCGATTGAAGAAAAAATAGTAAACAAAACATTGAATAAACAAAATAAAATATGGAGTACATAATATACAATGTGTGAATCCAATGCGTAATATTCCTGTCCATACAACTACCAAAAGAGCCAATAAATATTATTGTGTTTGATATATGTAGTATGGGATGACCACTCAGAGTTTGCAGACAGCCTCCTACCTATTTCGTCCTGTTTGGAGACCATCAGATAGACGCAAGTCTTGAAAACTAGCCCTTAACTTGAACGGTTATTTTTTTCTGAGCACACTTTGTTGCTCCGATTGACTTTGGACTGCCGGGCATTACCGAGGACAGTGATAAATGCGTTCAAGTATAACTGTCCTATTGGTAGTTAGCACATGCAGCGATTGTCCTTCTTTGACTTGCAATTAAATGCGTTCAAGTATAACTGTCCTATTGGTAGTTAGCACATGCAGCGATTGTCCTTCTTTGACTTGCAATTGACATTTCAGCTCTACACTTTTCAGGGGTTTCGGGGAAAATGGCATGTGGTTTCAATCATCAGCACCAAGCCTATATAGGACTTTTGTGGTTGTTCTACGAGGTTTGCAACTTCATTATTTATTTTACGACACGTCGTTAATTTCGTGTGAAATTTACATCCTGTAACAACGCCGTCCCCACTGTTCATCATTATTATCATCATCACCATGGACTGCATGATAGTGTTCAAATTAATTATGGGATACTGTCTTAAGCTTACCGTCGTAATCATGCATTGACAACAATAAGCGAAACTCAATATCAAGGGGTTTTTGATTCCCTCAAACTGACTGTTCTCTTTCAGGAAGCATGCATTCAGGCGAGACTACTGACATCCCCTGGGCTATCAGTACATACGATGCTATCAGTCGTTCCAAGACCTCCATCGACAAAATATTGTGATATGACCGTTCAAGCGCTCATGGTAAGAAAAGTCGAGTGTACGCGTATCTACATCACTCTCTTATCACACTATAAATATTCTTTCATCTACATGGAAAATGCGACGCACTTAGTGATGCAGCCACTGCTTATGTACCCTCAAGAAGGCGGATTTTATCCTTTAATACTTCCCATAACCAACCGCTTTACATCACTCAAAATGATGGCTCCCAGCAAAGTCTAATTTTATCCGCAAAGCGGGGGATTGTTTTGGGCCAGTGTAGACTAGGGATTTATCAAGACCGCAAAACTCACTGGAGAGGAGAGATATTGGGTGAACGTGAAGTAACAAATAATGAGTTCTGTATATTGTTTTTATCCGTTTGTAGCGATGGGTACCAGTCAGTTATAAACTCATTCGAATATTTATACCGACGTTAAACATTTGGCCTTTTTTCTGAAGAGTGCTGTGTGTGCGTGTGGTATGCGTTTTTTGTACTTAACTGTAGCCCCAGATCTTATTGCCACGTATTTGTATTCGGTGCACGTCCGCATTGACAGTTTGTTCAGAACTCCTTATCCCAGTTCCCTCCTACCTGGAACGAACTTACTTGATGTTTTCTGCCAGACTCTAAAGTCTCCAGTGCACTTGAGCAGCGTTCTTTTGAAGCTTACCACAAACTTTGTATTTCCAATTGATTGTATTCCCATGTTTTCAAAACTTGATCGCAGGATATGGATGCTCTGAGCAGCCCTCATGAGCTTACGGAACTTGGCTATCACACATGCGATATTCCAATTCCACCTCGCTATGCAAAAATGGTGCTTGTCAGTGTGGCGCTGAAGTGCTTAGATCCTATTCTGACTATCGCATGCATTCTGACTTATGCAGAACCATGTAAGTTCCCTCTACGAAACTTCTTTATTTGTTCCACTTCTTTGTGAGCTCTGAGCCATTTTGCAGCCAAGTTTTCATCTTAGTGACATGCCTGGGTGACAAGTTTACTTCAGTTTTGCCAGAAAAATATGAAGCAGAATATACTGTGTAAAAATTTCATCTGGATTCTCCAAGCGTAAATAATTGATGATGCCACTTTGAAGCGACCGGAAACTTCTCTTACGCGAGAAGTTCTATACTGAGGTGATTTGGTCTGCTTTACCGTGAGTAAACGGAAATACTTTTCAACTTGGAAACTACTCATAAGGTTGCTGAAAACTCTTCGACAGCCCACGGCCGGTTTCGCCCTTCTTGTGGCTCATCAGGTAGGCGCAGTCCCCGAGTTTTCCTCAACCTTATGATCTAATTGTGAGTAGTTTCCTTTATGAAAATATACTGCGATATCTCGAATATCGAGCCAACTGAACCATAAGGCGGCCTGTATGCAGCACGTTCAGTTGGAGGACATCATAAACGAGAGATTCAATTGAGTCTCCCGTGAAAACCAAATCGATTTGGAAATGAGTGTATTTCTCGAAATACTTTTCAACTTGCTTGAAGACATTCATTCTGTTATTCGGTCGTTGATCCGGGTTTAATGGTCTTGATACCTTAATCGCGAAAACAAAAATTGAATGTGAAGATTTGCACGTGGTCAGTGGCATCAATCCCTGCCACGGCAATTGAGTTCTGGGCGAGGTAGTTCGCCAAAGTTTTCTGTGGATTCATCTGGTCTGTTAATCATCGTCTGAAGGCTGGAATAACGGAGTTCTACGAACACCCTATGCACGGAATTGTCGTTCGCAAACTCCGTTATTTGATATTCCTCCTGTCTGACGATTGGTACTTAGCGTCTGCCTCTAGACTTATTGACTTTGAGCAGACTGGCAGATGGTCACGCGAACACGCGGTTTCATTAGTCTAAGTCAAGTGTTCGCGTGACCCCCTTGGGGAAGGACGCGCACGCACAAGTCGTATTTCAGGTAATCTTGGTTGTGGTCTTATGTGCGACCCATAAATCCGCCAAGGCGCACTCAGGGCCAGGCGAGCATGATACATTGAATCGGTTTAGCCTGATTACGAAAGTCGTTCTTGGGCCATCTGAACCACAAAAGCAGTACCGGCTTGCAACCCAGAATCCACCATGATAAGTTACCTCAATCATGTGTACGTGCGGGCTTTCGCGCAACCAAAGGCGCGTTCCATTACTTTCTAAAATGGACCTGCATGGTATAGTTGTGTAATCTCAAGCGCGTCGGTGTCCGGTCAAAGTATCCCGGATTGAAGAAAGACCACAAGCCGATTGTAACCCATGCTTCATCTACCGTATGTCTGACACCTCTCGATTGAGGAATTGAATGGCGGCAAAATCCTGCACGGTGAGCACTGCATTTTGCGTGCTTCTAAAATTTGAGCCCTTCGCATAATTTTCCAGCCATCCAACCCACTCGTAACGGGTACGCGAAAATACGCACCTGCGTGTGGCACACGCACCATTATATCGGTAACCAGTGATGTTATCCACAGCTATCACAGCTGAGTCGGGCAATCCAAGCTGCATCGAACAGCTAACGCCGAAAAATATGAAACCTGAAAAGAAACTTTCAAGGGAACTCCATTTGTCAACTCGTGATAATAGTCACTTAACGAATTGAAAACCCTCACCAAGGTCTTTGTTCTTACTGGGCGGATGATGTTTTTTGTGAACTTTTACTCTCAATGATGAAAGTGGCGTACTTTTACCAGAAGGATTGACTGTCAAGGAGTTATCGTCTGCTGCTTTTTTCGTTTCACGGCCTCATTCAAAGCAGATTGTGCAAGCAGACGTGGCAAGTGCTGGTCAGTTTAGGCATTCACATACATGTGTATCCTTTCCTCATGGTTTTCGTTCCCTTACTCGTCATTTGTGTGAGGCAATTTTTATTGGGTGCTGGACGTTTTTTGCGGAACTAGTGAGATGATGTCTGATTCACACCCATTCAACCGGTATCCACAAAAATCGGATACACTACGTACCATGTAAGCTAACCAAATCCCGGATCCGTTGCATCGACCGCCGAAGGATCAGAACTAATAGCGAGAACGGCAGCATCACCGAAGTTGGGTTAACAGTTTCTTTAGATTCACGCTCATGAGATCTGGTTTCCTCTTTCTGGGCAACAGCCCATCTAATTCTGCCGGTCAGTGGTTGGTGACACTTCGCACCCATTGTTTTTTATTGGTTCGCTCAACATCATCATGAAGTGTTCCGTTGAATCGATCACCAAAATATCGGAACCAATAGTAAAAACAACAATACATGTAATATCACACCATTACAGTTTAAAATTTCAGGACAGTCTCAGCTGTTTGGTGTTTCAAAGTTCCTCTGTTGATCTACCGATGAACTCTGGTCTGTATTGAGAAAGCATTCTGTTCTCAACCCAGTTTTTCAGTACCAGGACGTGAAGGATATATATCTCAGCATTTTTATTACACATGTAATATAATCTACTCGCTGTCTCAAAGAATCCACCCACACCGTCTGCTGTGAGCTGTGATGTTCAAAGGAATGAAAGGAGTATACTCCTGCTTCCATCCTACGCAGGAATGAAATTTAAGCCTACCGAACATCAAAATCCTACTTTTCAGGTCATCATATACCATGAACTTGAGAAATATGTAATCTTTCTGACTTGACAGAATGGATAGGAGTTTAGATGACTTATCAATAGTTTCCACTGATGACAACCCATTACACGCAATGGTATTCTTGCGTTTAAATCTAATGCCCAAACGAAAACGTCTTTACTTCTGTTGTACACTCCGATTTTTCAAAGTTTATGCCCCCAGGAATGCTTTCGAACGTAGAGAATGGAGAAATGTTCGGAGAAAATTCGCCTCTGAGAGTTACAGTGACCACATGATGTTGCTCAGAGCGTTTCAGTTCTGGCAGAAAGCGAGATCGGAGGGTTGGGAGAAAAGCTTTTGTCAGAAAAACTTTATATCAAGTGCTGCGTTTGAAATAATTACGGTTATACGGTGAGTTTGTTCTAAGTGATTTTGTTAAAAACTTCTACATCTCTAGCTGAGTCTGAACTTACCCGTACCCAGACCGAACTTCTCACCGTCGAGTGTGGAAATCCTGAGTAATGAAGTTCAAAGCCGTTACGACACACTTTGCATCAATGCAGATGCAGTACATATCCCTCTCAGTGAACTTTAGTGTACACGGCATTCGATCCACACTGCCGAGGATTGCATTTCTAAACCGTATCTACTTGTATAGGTGGAATCAAAGAATTTGCTACAAGAATTTGGAGGGCACTGTTATATTTCAGTATAACAGAACAAAGTTGTTTCTCTGTTGATGGTCAGTCGAAAAGGACCGATCAAAGGCCTTTCCCCCCATCAGTTGGCCTCTTCCAGGTGGTCCTTGCGGAACCAAGTAAAAGTCGTCCCCGAGAGTGTCCTCTCCAAAAAACAACTGTGCCAGTACATATTTGGGGAAATGGGAGTTATGGTCATCCAAGGGAAGATAGCTGCTATCGTTTCTCACGCATCGATGCAGTTAATTTGTACAAATAACGGTTTCAGGTCCCAATTCGTCCATAATCACATCCAAATACACACAGAAGAGAGAGATCTCGCCGGCCGTTTTTTAGGCATACCTACTGTGATTTCAGTCTCAAGACTCAGAATGTTTCCAGAGGAAAGAGCAATGTTGAAATACATACGAATTCTCAATTTAAGCCTGCCACAAAAGCACTCGAAAAAAACGAACAACGACCTTGACAAGATGACCAATAACTGTCGCTGAGCATAAGTGAAGTTGTTGCTCTCGAAACCCAAGTAGCCACCAGAATACCTGGGCTAATAGCTTCAGCTAATTTTGAAGTCGGCTTACATATATGTGCTCACAGGTTTTTTCATAGCTATTACAGTATCAAAAATCCCGCATGCACTAGAAATGACCGATTCAAGCAAGGGGAAATGAGAATTTAGAAGACGTTCGACATTTTTCCTAATTTTCCTGAAACAAATACTCCTCAATCATTCCTATGCCTTTTTCAAGTAGGGCACCTAACTTTTTCAATAGAACTTTGCTCAAAAACCCGAGAGCAGATTCTTTCATATTAAGGTTGCTTTTGGGATTACATCAAAAAAAAAGATTGTTTATCTGTACAGCTGTCGGCTAATTCTTTGCAGTCGTTTCCGGTCGATCTTCCAGACACATACGCACACACCAGTTTACCAATGAAGATTGCACAGGTGTGTTACTAAGTAGCGATGATGCTGAGTGCCGTTTGTCATATACCGGTCACGAATTAGAACAGCCGTTCCTAAGCGGTGTGTTGTAATTTTCCCAGACGGGAGTTCCATTGCCTCTAGCATGATGAAAGCAGCAAGTTTGGAGAAATCCAGTGCTGTCCGACTCATCCAGTGTTGCAATCAGCTGTCTTCATTAACTTCGTGATATTTCTGTTGTTCACCTACTATTTATAGCCTAAGCTGTTGTTGAAGGACTGTGATCATGACGTGCTTGTCGGCACTGCAGGCATGTTTCACCCAATGCAAGGGTTTTCAGTGAAATTGGATATGGGTAAAAGCTCAGGATGTGTTGTGCAATAACCATCTGTCCTCGATTCGCGTAATCCACTATTCCATGCACAGTATGTATCAGGCCAAGGTAGGTGCATTTCACCCTTCTTATAATGTTACCCTCTGTTATTTGAAGTCCGTGACGGTGAGTGATCTTCAAACTTCAATATATCCCCATATCGAACCCGTCGACTCAGTATTATCAAAGCATAATAAACTACCCTGCTGTTTTTTCACCGGATGCACAATACAAAAGAACTGTACTATCAAACCAAACTTTCCTCTCACAATATTCTGCCGGTAGACCTTGTCTTTACTTTGAATTGGGTTCGGACTCTTCTGTGCAAGGTTGCAGCTAATGGAGTGAACTGCCCACCTGATTCTGTGTTGGGTGAATTCGTATGAAATAAGGTCAGATATGTAAACACGTGTGCAAGCATACACATGTTGTCAATCCCGAAAAACTTGCAACCCACTAACCGTCCCATTTGACCTTAATCATTTGGCGTATCACTGCTGACCCAAACACCACACCACCATTCAAATCGATTTGTGCCTTGCAAACAGGATACAAATGGTCAGGTTTGTTATGGAGGAGAATGTTGGTAGTATAAATGGTCGTTGGTTTGCTCGCTGAGCTGGTCAATTTGATTGCATACGTTTCATCACCAATCGAGGTGAGTGTGGTGGAACGTAGCGATATATGGGTTGGTGGTTGTGGGCACAACCACAACGCACTGATGATGTCACCTCGATTGGTGACGAAACGTTTGTGAATTGCCCAGCTCAGCGAAGAACCATGGTCAGGTTTGTCCCACCCATAAGTGACTGACTAATTTAAATGCCAGGATTACCAGGTTCCGTCCAAAATAAACGTGAATGATTAACGAAATACGCTCATTTGCTGTCGAAGAATTTTCAGCAACCTTATGAAAAGTGCATTACGAATAAACACGAGCTATCTTTTACCCTATTCAGGACACAACTCCTTGGCCAGCTTCGTGCCTCGGGTTTTGTGAAGGCACGTGGAAGCGGTGATATACGAGATCTGAACACAAATTCGGAAAACTGGGCAGTTGTAAAGGCCGCAATCGTTGCTGGTATGCATCCCCAACTCGCCAAAATTGACGAAAAACGGCACATTACATTTATCACCGGTCAGGAAGGTCTGGTAAGTGGTTAGTTACAAGGATTTCGGATATCACTGTTTTGTACGGTAAGCCTTACATTTGAACCAGTCAGAAAGCCTGATTTTTCAGACCCCAGCTTGTTGGTCAGAGGCACTAGTGGGATAGTATGGTAATAGCAGATAAAATTCAGGAAAACGTGTAATATCACTTGCAACACTGACGATGACAAGCATTAGCCTGGTAGTCTGTGGTGTGTGAAAATCAACCGAGATGACGGGTATCGAAGAAATGACAAAGTATGGAAAGTTAAAAACGTATACACTGCGAAGATCGGTGCACCGCTCTCGGCTGATGAACGTAATAAAACAGTACTGGGTGATTTTCAGAAAATTCTAAGTCACAGCCGAACTGTCTAGTTTACCATAGCGGGGCAACTCCAATTTAAGTGCCGCTCCATAATTCCTCCGGCGTTAGGTTAAGATTATCGTGTAACTGGGGCATCGCCCATCCACGCTATAGAGATCGAACAAACCTCGAAAGCATGTTAGTTGGTATAATTCGAAAGGGAAAAACCTGTTTGAACACACTTCCTTGTATTTAAGTTATTCCGCTGGGTTTGATTGCCATCACAAAGCTCTACATGCTTCTAATTTCTTATGTTACTGCTCCGCTTTTTCAAAATCGTTTTTCATATACTCTGCTTGTCATATTTAATAGGTGACGTTGCACCCGCACTCTGTTCTAGCAACGGCTGACTGGAACTCGAATAACTCCTCATGCATACCAAGTGAATGGCTTGTGTATGACCAAGTAGTTACCCTTCCGCAATCGACAGCGGAAGCAGTCAGTGACAAAAGTTGTAGACCAGCCCTATCGGATGGTGACAAATTAAAACCCCAGGATGAACGTGGGATAGGAAGTCCCGTCGGTCGCTTCACACCACACTGTCGGTCAGCGATGTGCGAAGCTGATCTGCCCTCATATGCAGAAGTCACCGATCCATCGAAGGCTTGTGACGGGTTGAAACGATTCGAAGAGACGGAAAACAAATTTGAACATCGATGGTTACGTTTTATAGGCTGCGTAACGGTTGTTTCCCCGGTTACGGTTGCGTTAATGGCTGGTCCCATGCGTTCGAGACCGGAAATACTGAGGGAATTGGAAACACTCACTGGTAAGATATCGTTTGTCGTGTTCCTTACTTGACTTTGCGTAAGCAAGCAGCTGATTGCTGTCCAGACTTAAAGGCCAATATGCGTGGGTAACTAAACAGTAACATTTGTCTTTATCAGCACAATTCTGATTGGTTTATACAGGAAGCAAATCACCATAAAGTCACGCCTTAATAAGGAAGCAACCAGAAACACTATTCCTCCTGCAACCACTGTCACACCCCTATACCGGGCTCATCAATGGTCAGTATATAGAGTTTTGTGCGTTATTCGAATGTGCAAACTAGGTTGTCTAGAACAAAACAAAACCATAATCCTGACTAGCATTTTCGGTATCAGGGGCACTGCAATAAGTTGGGGAAAAGTAAGCACCTTAAGATATCTGAAATACTCCAACGGTTTCCTTGATTCACTTGGTTCCTATAATGTTTTGTGTGTGTGTTTCGTGTGTATTCGCAGGAAGCTGTGGTGAATACATTGAACGTACCTCGCAAAAGAAACGACGATAACGTTAGCGAATAGACAGTTGTGTGTTTGGATAAGAAATCGATCAAATACGGGTAGGAAAGTATATCTCCATGACACTAAAAGCCATCAGCTGTTCCGTAGAAGTGTTCCGGATTACAAACCCGTCCTTGCATCCTACTGCTGTTGACAAACAAGCACCCGCTACGGAACACCGCTTTACGAACTGAAACTAGTTTGAATTCATCAACAGCATTTCCGATGCTGGCCAGAAAAAGACAATCTCGGAAGACTTCTTCTTACACATCAGTAACTCTTTATCTTGGCACTTGTATAGCGAACAGAATCGTTTCACGTTCAATTTCCGAACAGCTCCCATCACACTTGTCCAGAGGGAATCAGAGGAAGTTGATATCTTCGGGAGCAAATGACCCTGTTTATTGAAGGTGTCTTCCTCAGCATCTCTGGACGCTACGCTCATCACAGTGACCTGTGGACACCAACCTGTAAATAGAAAACAATATGAGATAGCGCTGATTCTCGGTTTTTCGGTAACCGAGCCATTGAGTTTTGACAACGGATTACAGACACTACAACTTCCAGTAATCGCATCAGTTTTGTTTTTTTTGTTGAACTCCGACACTTTCTTAGGAAACGCACATCCGCTGCTGCTGCTGAAGGGTTAGGTGGTTTACTAGTGGAATTTAGTTTGTCAATCGTAGATGATGTACTTCTTGTAGCATTACAGGTGAGAGTTTCCAGCATCACTACGGGAAGTGTTAAGTTTCAAGTTGAGTCACCCAACCAAGTGGACCAACCAGTGTACGGTCGTGTATCAGTAGACCTAAAGATCACAAGCGAAATGTGATCTAGTCCCAAGTACAGCAGTGCTAGCACCATAGGCCTCCTACGTTAGATGATTTAATCCCCTCTTTCTGTCAGGTGAAGCCATTCATGAAGCTTGATCTACCTCCTGCGTCCTGATAACTGGAATCAATTGGCCCATCGCGCTACCTCAATACTTTTGGTTTAGCTTTTGTTGAATGAGACGGCTTTGCCCTCCACCAAGGCCCAAAGTATCCAGCGAGGTATTTAAGAAACAGTTACTCCAGGCATTAGCTAACTGTCCGTGTACACGCTTCACTGATGATAGTCTACCAAAACTTTGGCGAACTCCAAAGAAATGCGACATCGACTTAAGTATAATTCTCAACTGTCGTTTTGAAGACGACACTCATTTAACTTCAGTCAGGTGGGAGCGAGTATGTTACTTTTCACGGACATTTGCTAACACCTGATGACGTGCGCGTATGACCTACGTGTATGTAGAAAGACTTGATAGTAAATGTTCCGTCTGAAAGTCTATGCTGTCCACATTTCAATGTAATGGATAGTGATGCGTGAAGCTTTTCCTCAGTGTTGTAAACTTTATCATTGAGCGTGTCTATTTTCACTGGCTTCTGGCCTACATAGTGGCATAATATCGCGCTAATTTATTAAACCCTTCTTAAATGTAGATCTCCAACAAAACCCATTTACTGGTGCCAAAGATATGAAGTCAGATAACCCGAGGAACCAACCGGCATTTCTTCGAAGTCCACGTACTGTTTTCTCATATCCAGTCTTGATAGAGAACAAGGACTTGGGGATATCTGAGAATAACCCTAACTCTACACACCTAGGGTTTAGGGAGTCAGAAAACCAAAGTTTCGTTCAAAACAGCGGGCCGAAAACTGTGGTTGAGTGCGATTCGCTTACGAACCAGTCATATCTTGGATCTGATAGTGACTCTGATGAGATGTGGACCGGAGAGTACGAACGTCAAAACAAGAATTTACGTCTTGGTGACCTCAATGGAAATCTGAGACAAATGCATCATCACTTTATTGGATCAGGCATAAAACAGGCTTCAGCACCAGTGGGTTCTGGAGTTTCTTCTCTATGTTCCGAGACGTACACAATACACCCTTCGGCGACGCTTCCCCTCATTCCTCATGGCGCACTTAGTGGAAGGGTCGGACATGCATCTCATGTAGTTCCTCCCGTTCACTGCCAGCCGTTAACTTCTGGTCATGGGAACCACATCTCACTGCGGCTGGACGACAGAGGACTGCTTCATTTGCGGGCCGATTCTACAACAGCCCAGTTTATTGTGGCCTTAAGACAAAAATGGCAGGCTTTACTTCTGCGCCGGCTTCGTAACCCGGGCAGGCCATCTTCTCCACCCGATGAGGTAAGTCTGATTGTTAGGTTCATCTGCATTTCATACTAATGTTAGGACTGAAGAAAATGGGTATTGTCTTGCATTTTCATTTTCCCGATGAATCAACGGAAACTTCACTGAAATCGGCACATGAAATGCCGATCGGATACATCAGATCTCTTTTTTTACGTAGAAGTATTGCTTATGAATACGTTTGGTTTGAAAAGAAGCCAGTTGAAACTGCTTATTTTTAGCCTGACTAAGGTATTGTGTGGATGAAAAACAGGTGTGCCTTCCAAATAGATGGGAAAAACAGTCCGCCAACTGTGTTGCCTAGCCATCATCATCGGCAGCATGACGTCAGTGGTCAACACTGATGCTTCGCTGCCGTACAACCATGACGTATTTGAAAGCCTTATAGTTTAGAGGAGAATAAAATAAGGGGGGAAGGGACTTAGTACTAGCTTACTACATTCATTCTAATATGCCTACACCTCTAGACACTTATTCAGATAACCTGGATAGAAGCTGACAACAAGGACGCCGTTGACATCGATTAGCAGTCGTATCTTGCACCGTTTCCTACCAGGCGCGGTAGAGATTTCGCGGTCACAACCCCTTAAGGTGAGTCGACCCGACAACACCCAAGCGTTTCCCAATCTCTTTCATACCCCTCTGCCAGCTCAAAGTTTGTCCACCTCTCTGCTTCTCCAACTCCGATGAGGGCATGGGAAACAGCCCTCTCTTCAGCAAACGATGGTTTGACCTGCGCAATACATGGCCCAACTAACTCAGCATCTGGTTCTGGACAAATTCTTTAATAGAAGCCTCCGTTGCACAACTGAAATCTTGCTTACTAATTGCCTCGTCATGGATTCGTGGACACCAATCCAAGCGAGCTGTGGTTCTTAGTCAGCGGTTTTTGAACACCTGAAGACGTCTCAGTTCCGCTGATCGAAAAAGCTAAGTCATAACCGTACGACAAAACAGCCCTTACTGATACACAGCTCCTTTGAGATTCAGGAATATACCACTTTGACGCCATCTGCAAACGCTACCCGCGCCTTGCAGTTTCATGCATTGACCTTAACTACCACACTAAATTCGAACCAGTAATGCTCCACAACTTCGAATGCCTCGCCCTGGATTGTAAGTGGCGTGTTCAATGTGCGCATGTCGAGGAGCATGACCTTACACTTTGCGGGCGTAAAGTGGATAACAAAGGACTGGATGACTTCGGCACTCATCCATACACATCACTTTACCTGGGCCGTTCGCATAATGATGGGTTGAATTTCGGTGTCTCGAAACACACTTTTCTAAGTACGGTGGCGGGTGGCGAACAATGAGAGTTATTGAGTTGTTTAAGTATGTTTAGCTGTGGGCAGTTGCGATACTTGTAGAATGCACATTCACATCACTTTCGTTTGAACAATCATCCTTCTGTCCCGGCGTAAACATTCTGGCGAGTCCACGCCAAACGGGGATGCGGTAGACTCAAGTTCTGCTCTTATTAGAGCTCATCAGCAGTGCGAATCCCTGGCCCTGTCGGGGTTTCGGCTCCGCACTTCTGACATGTGAGGCGGGCGTGTATATTTATTTGCCCAAATCTACATTATAAAACCTTGAATACGCTTTTATAAGTTCCGAATAATTGAACGATTCAACTTCCATCGGACGATGTTCATCACATTCCAAACCTCTGGGCAGAATCTAGGCAATCATCAACAGTCTAAAAGTTTTCATCTACAGCTCAGCTTGCATTTAACAAAAGATTCCAGTGCTTTGGTTAACTGTGTCCATATCGCACTCAGTTATCGTATTCGTATTCAGCCTCATGGATCGAGTTCAATTGCCGTACAATCGTTATAGCTGCCACAGTTTCATTCGCCGGTGATTTGGGGATGTGGGGTGAGTAGCTGAGCATTGGAGACGGTAGCTGATATAACTGATGCGTAAATACGGAACCGTCAATGGCCTGTTAAATAGAGGTTGGCAAGAAGGTTATACATTGAGGGTAATAACTTGGATGCACGAGCGCGACTGAGCCAGGTCTAAGAATGTCTCTGACCAATGATGTGGCTGGTCTGGAGGTCCCCATCTAGGGAGACGACAATAACCAGCGCTGCTGAGTTTGCTGCAAATGGCTTTCACACTCAATGAGGATAATTTAAACATTTACTCCTATTTTCCACTTAAGCGCATCATTTGGTTGATTAAGTTGATTGAAAAGGCAGTAAAATACAGGTATTCGTCTACACCAAGATTGAACCTAACAGAATGGCGGTGTGGGTAAAGAGATGGCCATTAAGACAAAACTGTTCACGACATCTTACCGGGTTGTTTGCTTTTGCTGCGTCGACTGGGTTCCGAATATCATGGACCCAACCCATTTTTGTTCTTTGTTGTGTGCGCTGTTTTATCAGAACAGACAGTAGGCAAGTGAAATGTGAACATCCTCAGCCGCAGGAATAAAAAAATAGATAAATGGACTGGAGAATCTGGACAAACACTGGTTGATTTCTGGGGGTCAGATGATCCCTGCCATGTTACCCATATGGCTTACTTCAAGAGTTGTCGTCTACATTTTAGGGGTTGGTGGTATATGGTCTGTGGCCAGTCGCTTCATAGCTCTCCAGAACCTCGGAGTTGGTGTTGTGTAATAAAGTGTGTTGCTTCCAAGACACGCCTGGCTATTGAGATCAAAGTTTCAAGTGGTTGTGAAATGGGAACCACAGTCTTTGGTATATACGCGGCCTGTCTGTCCTGCCAATGAAAGCGTTTTGGAAGCTGCAAAAGAAGTAGAGAATAGAAAATCTAGTATTTTTTTGTTGTGGAAGAGAACTCTGATGAGCGAAAGTTAGCCTGTTTTGTAGACAACCTGAGGGGCCCAAGCTAGCCTCAGACTGATAGTGTTGCCCATGTGATCACCTTTGATTTAAAAAAGCATCTAGATGCTTTCTTGCATGGCACTAACCATTCCTAAAGTCAATGAAATGTCTGAGCAGTGCTCTTCTCGTTTCGCCCTTTTTAAGGCTCATTAGGAAGGCATGTTCCCCGAATTTTCATCAGTCTCGTTCCACACTGAGAACCAAATTGTACGTATGTGACGATAAGAATTTATACGCAACTTGAGTTAGTGTTAACGGTAGGCTCAGATGAAATTCGGCAGAATCCGTCATTTTCTATATTCCCCAAATGAGTTTGATACACAACGATGATTCAATCGGAACGATAGTTAGGATGTAAACTTGTTTTCCTTTGCACGACATAACTCGTAAGACCGATAAAAACTATTGAAAGCTAGCTACCAGTTTCACCTTTCTAGGGCAACGCCAGGCTGCCGAATCCCACTAGTATTATTTCGTACTTGAACACTGAATCGAACTTAATTTGCAACTTCGTTAACGGTCCCCTTAGTACAATCTGCCGTTCACACATTGCTTGGGTTGCTGAAACTTCAGGGATTGGACCCCAGAAAGCAAGAAATTGGTAGTGGAATTTCCAGTGTCTCTATGAACACAATGAGTGGTATCGTGTGGTGGAAAATAGAGCAGTCCCTCCATAAGCATCCCCAATGAGACCACCCTTCCAATTAACACCGCATCAGTCCAGTCCAATGTCGTAAGGTTTAGATTGAAAATGATTCATTTTGAAAGGCCACTTCCAGCACTCAACAAAGACTAACCTAGGTTACCCAGTTGAGCGATTTCACAGTGGTTGTAGCTACCAGCTTCGTTCACCGATGATTCGGGGAGGTGGGGTTGTTAGCTGTGTATTGGAGGCGGTGACTGTTAAATTGGTGTGCAGCTACAGCACTGTCAGTGGACTGTTAATTGGGGAAATTGGGAAGGGAACCATGCATTGAAGCCAATAGCTTGGATTCACGAGCGCGACTGGGCCATGTCTAGCAATGTCTCTGACCATCGATGTGGCCTGTCTCGGGGTCTCCATCCAGGAGGACTGTAATGACAAGCGCTGCTGAGTTTAGTGGTAAT